TGTTGCATCAAATGTTAAAGCTGTTTTTGATAGACTTTTTTATGTGATTACTATAAGTGACCATCAATTCAACGTGCAGGGATGGTATTTTCAGAAATAGTACTCGAGACTTCTAGCTTTAATTTAAGCCTAATATCACCTTTAGTTTCTTTGCTATGGCTTCTAAAATATTGCAAAATACGCGATTTTTTGACACTTTGACCTCGTTTTTTCCAAATCTAGAGCTGATGGAGACTTTATACTTACGGATTCGTAATCAGCATAAAAAAGTCTATCCAAAACAGCTTTAACATTTGATTCAACGAAATTGTTTCCCATTTTTTTCCCTTGTGTAATAGATTGGCGCTTACACATATGTTAGTGTTTGGCCGAGCTTCTCCTCCGATTTGTGGCGTGCGCCTTGATGTTGTCACACAAAGGGAAGGGACTTAAAGTTTTATGCTGTTTTTCTTTGCAGAAATACACTCGGAGGTTTCCCATTGCCTGTCGGGGGCGACTGCTGTTAAGGATAAACCTTCTCTTCAGTGAACAGGCACAACTTCTAGAAACACTAGTTTACTTAAGTTTACGCATACAATATGAAAATTGCAAATATAGGAAAATGACAAAAAAATTTGTAAAAATTTTTTTTTATTTTAAATAATAATCTATATATAACACAGCCACACAAAAAAAAATTTGTGTTCTGACCCAAAGGTCTCACTATGTGTACTTTATGTTTTTGGGGTCGCTGAATCCGAATCCGAGGTCCATTTAACCCCATCAGTTCAGGGTTTTGATATAACCCCAGAAAACCAATATGGCGGACACCTTTTGGAAAAATTCATCGGATTCGCTTGAAACTCGTTACTCAGGGGTTTTGGGAGTCACCGATTACGAATTTGATGTCAGTTTTCGAAAATTCAAAATGGCGGATCCAATATGGCGGACACTTTTTGTATTGGATCCGCCATTTTGAATTTTCGAAAACTGACATCAAATTCGTAATCGGTGACTCCCAAAACCCCTGAGTAACGATTTTCAAGCGAATCCGATGAATTTTACAAAAACGTGTCCGCCATATTGGATCCGCCATTTTGAATTTTGAAAAAATAATATCATATTCGTAATTAGCGACCCCGAAAACCCCCGAGTAACGAGTTTCAAGCGAATCCGATGAATTTTTCCAAAAGGTGTCCGCCATATTGGTTTTCTGGGTTATATCAAAACCCTGAACTGATGGGGTTAAATGGACCTCGGATTCGGATTCAGCGACCCCAAAACATACAGTACACATAGTGAGACCTTTGGGTCAGAACACAAATTTTTTTTTGTGTGGCTGTGTAATTGTTCAGTCATACGACTTAGTTAGGGCGATCTGCTGCAGCTACAGAATTGAGTTGTATATCAAATTAACCCTCTATTAGGCAGAACCGCCTCCAGACGGTCGTTAAATAAACACCTTTTTAGTGCACCTATAATCATTTTTTTCTATATTCGTAAGGCGCGATCTTTAGACAAAACTCGTACCCTTACGGCGAAGTAAACTTTAATCCGTTATGTCAATCCGTTATATTTTAATCGGCAGTTAAATTACAGATTTTGAAAACACGGTTAAAATTAATTATTTCTTGCTATTTAGTAATTTCGTAATTAAAGAAATTTTTTCTTTTGACAAATTTTTTGATATAAAAAAATTCGGTGGATTTTGTTGTTAAAAGCACCATATTTTAATATAAGTTTTAGAATTATGTCACCATTCGAAATGGAGAAAATTGCTTTCGAACACAGACCGTCTACAGACCGGCTTGCCGACATATAAAACCCCAGTTTTGCATTTTTGACCGTCTGCAGACGGCATTGCCGGTTCGTAGGTCAACATTGTGTAAGATAAAGCTGAAACTATGTGTAAGTATATCGGCGAGCCCGTCTCCAGACGGTCTTGGTTTTTCTCCCCTGTAGGAAAAAGTTACTGTCACAGATCGAAATGGACATCAGTTTTGGATTTCTCGTGCTAAAATCACCCATTCCGGAATTTTTCAACTCATAAAAAAATTGGCCTACTAGAGGGTTAAAGTGCAAGCTCCATAGGTTATCCAAAAATTGTCAGATTTCAAATCGGTGAAGTAGGTGACAAAATATAAGCGTTTAAACATTTTTTTGACTCATTCTCAACGCTTCTATATATAATTGCTCAGTCATACGACTTAGTTAGGGCGATCTGGAGTAGCTACAGAATTGAGTTGTATATGAAATTAAAGTGCAAGCTGCAATTGCGATTACCGTGTTTGTCACAAAAGTAAAATTGACAGCAGTGTAATCTATAGAAAAATACTTACCAAATATCCGTGGAATTTGGTTCGGATTCGTGTTATTCATAGTTTCGAAATTTATTTCGCGAAAGCAAAAAATAAATATAGCTTAGATCACTTTCTTTTTTAAACACCTAGGATATCACTGACAAATTTAAAGGAACCAGGATGGCGGTAAAATTTAAAGTTCTAAAAATTTTTGGATGCGATTTTTGAAATGAGTGATCCAAATTAGCCGGTATACATATTTATGTATATTAAAATTTGTAGAATCAGTAGTAGAATTTTTGTACTGAAAGTGTTAAGAAAGCTTTAGTTTAAAAGCGCGATACCAAATGCCTTTTACCATGAAATGGCGCCAATTTTAAAAGATTATTGCGTCTCAGACTACGGCTAATAAAGCCCTTGGTCGGATATTGTGAAAGACTATACCTTAAAAATTACTGTTTTCTCGCGGGCCACTGTACGAAGCTCTGAGTAAAGTAAGGCCCTTTAATAACCTCAAAATTATCTTGGGTTATCAGGTCTCTAGCAATACCAGATTAATTGTTGTCTTTCGCGAAGTTCTTTAAATAAATTTTGAGCTAAATACTGAGGTATATTCATGAACATCACGTTTTATTTTTTACTTAAGTTTAAATACTTAGTATCTGCAGGTATTTCTTTAATGCATTCACCCGAATTTCGGGGGGTTATTACTAGTTTGTTTATAATCTGAATGATTTTCATCATATTATTATCATAAATCAGTAATAGCAAGTCTCGCCTTCAATTTGATAATTATTACGTGCCGATCGAGTAACATTTACCAAAGTTATATCGAAAAACTTAAGTGGATCTCCAGTTTTTTTCAAAAAAAAAATTTCTTCAATTTTATAAATAACCTTTAAATGAAAGAACCGGATTACAGAAAAGTATGCCAGGGAGTGACTTTTTTCGTTCAAGCTGAATGCAAAGCAATATCTTCCAATTGGAGAGTCCTCAAAAGGATTTTCCAGGATATGTTAAAGACTATTGCATTTACCTACCTACAGTTACTTTTTCACATAATGGAATTAACTAAAATATTTATGTAAACACTTGTTGCACGTCCCCTACCTTCATATAACGGCAAATTTAGAAACCGCGAAAAATTGATTTAAAATGGGCCCTAATTGTATTATGTTAATGTATGCAAATACTTATATTTATGCTTGCAACTACTATTAACTTATCAAACGATTCCGAATCTCTGACAATACATGTTTGACTTCATTCACCACGATCTTGAAAACTGACCAAATCGGCGTGACCAAGTTCATGGTAATTTTAATATTATATAATCATCCGAAAGCATGAAAACGTTTGAAATAAATCTCGTCTCACTTTTTTGTATTTTTCACTTGGTTGCTGAAGTAATGAAGAATTGAAAATTCATAAGGTAAAATTATAGTTTTCTTATTTTTTATTTTAATATCTTAAAAATTTGTAGACTTATTGAAAAATGATAAATGAACGTTTCCGCCCCAGCTCTTATGGGCGGAAATAGTAAATGTTTTCCAATTTTTATGAAATTCAGAGCATATGCTGGCTTTAATGAGGAAATCATAAATCTGAAAGATCGTCAAAATCGGTTTACATGATTGTCCAGTAATTCTAGAAAAACAGGCGCAAACTAAAAAAAAAACTTTTTTTTATGGAAGTCGGTGGCCCTGCTCGTTTAAGCCAGAATTTTCCAACATGGAAGTTAATAAAAAAAATTCTTTTTACGGCGCCCACATTTTACACAACTTTTGTTTTGGCTCCAAGTACTAAATTTTATGAATTTTGGAGAAAATGAACCGGCACATTTATTTTATTTCTAAGGACGTGGCTATTTATACATTTTCAAAATGACAAAGTGAAAACATTTACAACACCTGCTTGCTAAATTAGATGCTGGGAACAGAGGAAGAGGAAGGCCTCCTCTGCGTTGGAAAGACCAGGTGGAGAAGGACTTGGCTTCACTTGGCATTTTCAATTGGCGTCAGTTAGCACAGAAGAGAAATGACTGGCGTGCTGTTTTGGACTCGGCCAAAATCGCTTAGGCGGTTACAGGCCAAATAAGAAGAAGAAGAAGAGTCAGTAATATCTATATCTTCTTCAATTTCTATTTTATATTGCAAATTATTTATTTTATGTACACACCAGACTCTTTCCCTTCAGCTCTACAATAAAAATTCAATAAATTTCTACAGGAGGTGGTTCTATAAAACGAAGAATAGCAGCTAGACTCGCAGTTCCTCACAGCTGCAATTATTTGAGACATGACATGCATTTTTAATGTTTACTTGTCCTAAGTACAATTAGCTCTCTTCCTACGTCCTTTTTAACCCTAGAACACACACCCGGGTACAAATATATCCACTTTCAACTTTGAAGTGTTGTAACTTTTGAACCGCTATACCTCTATACCGCTAACTTCGGATCTAGGAAGATTATTTAGTTTTGAGTTCAAATTCAAAATTTGAACCAGATCGGACCATTGGTTCAGGAGCTACAGCCTTCCAAACACATTATATACGTAAACACACACCCGGGATACGTTTGTACCCCAATAGTAAAAATCCTCATAATAATAAAAAAAAAACATTTTTTATATTATTTTTTTATTTGAAAAATTAAAAATATTCACTTCACACATTATATTATTGACTTTTATTATAAAAATTATAAAAATGCATCTTATATCTAAGGAAAATCATGGCAAATAGAGCAATTTGTTGATGTGACCGAATGTTCAAGACACATTGGCTTCTTACATTTGTCGCACAGCTTTCTGGTTTTTCTACGGCGTTTTTCCTCTTGTGCGTAACCTAAATAGCAAGATCCGGACACAGGTTTTGGCGTGCGCGCTGCGGCAGATGTTGATGCTGCTGTTGACACCATTGATTCCACCGGTCGGTTGAAATATGCGTCAATAGCAATTTTAGTCGAAAAATTTCGCGTCAGTTGACGATTTATGGCTCTGGCTTCAATAATGGGCATACACAATGCTTCAGCCAAGCTGCGCAGGATCTGCTTACGCTTGTTGTTTGTTCTCCAAGGCAACATAGGGTTATTCAAATCGTAGACAATGTAGGCTGCAAGAGCTGTAATGTCCAACATGTTGAAGAACATCGCTAGTGGCCATCGTTTTGTTTGTCTTTGTGTTGGATATTCCGCAAACATTTGGTCCATTCGATCAACACCACCTTTGGTACGATTATAATATTCAATTATTTCAGGTTTCCCACTGTCAGCTATTTCAGCATCATTATGCATGGTCGAAAGCAAAATTACTGCTTTATTTTTTTGGGAACATAAGAGCACATTGTCACCTTATTTTTGAAGCCAAATGTCGTTGAACCAATTGTCCTGTTTTTGTTCTGCTTCATTTCTTGAGGAATATATGATTTGTTTTTGCGCAAAGTTCCAACGATCGTGAGTTTCCAGGTGAGAAGCAGTTCTGCAACTGGCAAGGTCGTAAACAAATTGTCCATTGTAATGTTTCGGCCACTTCCTTGGTATTTGGCAGACAAATCCTTCACCACTCGTTCGCCTTGGTTCGTTTCCCTACCAGTTTCTGCTTGGCCAGTATATATTTGTCCATGCAGTGGATATGCATTTGTGGCATCGCAAATCCACCAAACCTTGATACCATATTTAGCAGGTTTTGACGGTATGTACTGCGTAAACCGTGTGCGTCCACGGTAAGGAAATAATTGTTCATCAATCGTCAAGCATGAGCTGGGCTTGTAATGTGCAGCAAGATTATTGTTCATCATCGTCCACAACTCACTGATCGGTGCTGCTTTATCAGTTAGTAAGCGTGTTGCACGAGTGTTTTTATCGTCAAATCTTAGGAACCGCAATATCGAACAGAAACAGTTGACTCCCATTGTGGCGCGATATAAAGGTTAGTTTTTGACGCTCCATAAATCTCGAACATGTTCTCCATTGCTATGGTTCGCACCAGTCATAATAAGTATGCCAAAAAATGCATACAGCTCTGTTATTGACACAGGCGTCCATGACTTAGGAGTTGTGTTTGGATGCGCATTGTTGTAAGCATTATAAGTTTCTTTTGCTAACTTATTTGTGTGGCGCATAATTATATCAGCCATTTCAACGTTCATGAAACATTTGAATGTTTGCTCTATTGACAACATTTCAGTGCATCTAGCTGGTCCAGAACGTTCTCTTATAATATTTTGTCTGAGTACCTGACGACTTACATTTGGTTCTTTCATCCACTCAGTACCATCACGTGCAACAAATTTTTCGGCACTAGCAGGTAATTCATTATTTTCTTCTACTTCTTCTTCTTCATCGTCTTCTTCATCATCCTCATAGTCCGCATAATCAGGTAATACTTCTGCGGCACTTTGCGAAACTTCAGCATCGTCATCAGCAATTTCAATGGCATTGATTTGAATTTCTTCTTCATCTTCTGAGTCAAAGTCATAGGGAGCGTCATCGTCACAAATTTCATCAAATAAAGATTGTAATATGATTCTCGCTGTTCCTCAGTTAGCCTGCATAATAAAAAAAATTAGTATATGTTTACATTGTTGCTTATTTTACATTTTTTACCTTCTATATGCTGCACTTGATAAATATTCGTTTCTTCTTGAAGTCATTTCGTATCCAGTTATTTATAGTTTCAGTTATATTTATTTTCACTTATATTTTCACATCTTACACTTTTGAGCACCAAAACAATAATGAAAATATCAACAGGCAGCATTTATAACAACACCTCGTGTGAAAAC